CCTGGTGGGCCCGGGCCGTGCCGGGGCCCTCGGGGGGAGCGGGGACGCGGGCGGGGAGGGGGTACCGGGGAGATGGGACACGCGGGAACACGGCACGGGCAGGGGGAGGAACGTGGGGATGTGGGGCAGACAAGGACACAGGGCACAAGGACGCAGCGCAGAGGGACAGACAGAGGGCCGCGGGGCACAGACAGGGGCAGGGACGGGGGTCTGACCGGGGGCTGTCGCTGCAGAGTGGATCGAGCGCCAGCAGGCCAAGAACAGGTACTACTATTACCACCAGAAGTTCCGCCGTGTGCCCGACCTGAGCGAGTGCCTGGAGGGAGACTACCTGTGCTTCTTCGAGGCCGAGGCGCAGTGGAGGAGGGACAGGTATGGGTGTCCCCAGGGTGTTCCCAGGCTGCCCCCAGGCGAGGCTGCCCCAGAACACACTGATCATCTGGTCAGTCAGCCCTGGGAGCCACAGCAATTGGTGTGAACTCACGTTTTCATGGAATCTGGGGGGTTGAGGAAGCACATCTGCCCAGCATTTGGTAGCACTGCTGCTGTTAGGACACATCCTGCACTGCCTGGCTCCTTCAGGACAGGATCCTGCAAAAACCCAGAGATGACCTTCCACAGGGCATCACTGCCCTTTGGCTCAGCTTTTCTGTCACCTCCTGGCTGTGGTTGCATTCACACCATCATCTGTCCTGCAGGCTGGTTGATCAGGAAATCGTGGAGATCATCCGGGAGAGGGTAGGTGCGTGCAAGCAGAGGGAAGGGCCCAACCAGTTCCAGAACTGTGCCAAGGAGGTGGAGCTGCTGGCACGGGTCACCAAGGCCTACCAGGACCGATGTGAGTATGGACCAGCCTGCACATCTGCTGCAGGGGAAGGAGGGGGCTAGAACCACCTCTCTGCTTCACGGGGAGCAGGGCCTGGTGTGTTCAGCTGCTGAGGGGCACCTCAGGCATTTCCTTGCTTTTTAGATGGTGACCTTGGTGCCCACGGGAATGCCAGGACGTGCCTGATGAAGCAGAAGCACAGGATGATGGAAGAGAGGAAGGCACAAGCAAAGGCCTCTGAGAGCTGAAGGGTTCACACCTCCCTCTGTGGTTGGATCTTGCACATTGTCTCTTTGAACTCTGATGCTGGTGAGGACTACAATAAATGTGCAGCCCAGACACTTGGTGTACAACCAGAATCCAGACTCGTTATTTGAGGACATCTGCACTTCCCAGGTCTGCATTCACCTCTCAATTCCAATGACCATCACCATCCCCTGAACCACAGCCAGCCCCTCATCCCAGGCTGCCTGGGGAGGGGGTTTCCCCTTCCCTACCTCCATGAACCAACTCCCTGAGCTGCTCTGCCCAGCCGTGGCAGAGAATTCCCTCAGTCAGGGCAAGGATTACATGCTGAAGGACACCACCATCTCCAGAGCTGGTTCCAGACCATTCAGGGTTCATGCACCATTACCAAGGCTCAGTGTAACACAACATCCCATCCAGCACATGTGCAGGTTCTGCCCACAGATCTGACCCTGCTTAAATCCCCAGCAAAGGTTTCATCCACCTTCCTGCCCCACTCACCACCCCACCAAACCAATCACCATTTCTTGTTCACTCATCACTTTATTGTCTTGTACAAAACCCACTTAAGTTGTTGCCACAGCAGCTGCCTGGGTTCTCTGCACCGAGACTCTGGTGTGGGTCTTGGCCAGATGATCAGTGAACTCCTGCAAAAAAGCCACATTTTATTGTATTAAACCACTCTTAGCACAGATTTCTCAGCACTTCATCCCCTTCCAAGGTATTTGAGGGCTGGGATCGTTCAGATATGACTGATTTTTACTTTCTATTTCAAAGCTTTCCTGTTTCCTTGGTCCACAAAATGCTGTTTTCAGGTATTCCTCAAAACCACCCACTGGAAGATTCCCCCTTACAGGTCTCTGACTGCAGCTCTGCTGTTACTAAATGCAGATCTTTGGGCACAGGACTGGAGCCCCCCAGGGCAGGATCTGATCTCTTACCTGGTAAGGAGACTTGGTGAAGACAGTCTCTTTCCAGAGGTCAGGGGTTAGGTAACTGTAGGTCTTGGAGATGGCATCAAAGGTGGCTTTAGCTGGGGACAGAGACAGGTGTTGCACAGCACGGCCACAGAAACCCACCCGTGGTGCCCACCCGCACAGCTCCACCATGTTGAGTTGAGGAGGGAGCAGGGAGACCAGGGCAGGGTCCCCTGGTGCACTCACACCCCTCGGGTTTCTCTCTCTCTCCATTTACGACAATTACACTACAGCAACCAAGTGCAACCGCGCAGATTGGGAGATTGCAAGGCCCAGGTGAAGACACAACAGCTTGTTTCTGACTTCTACAGAACTTCAGGATCACCTGCAGCAGGATGAACCTGTGTTGTAGAAGTGATCAGAAGCCCCGGCTTCTGCCGGGCTGCTGGCAGCTTTTGATTTGACACCGATTAAAAAATACTAAAGAAACAGGTGTGTTGTGTTCCTGGCAAGGACAAACAGCACAGGGAGCTCAGCCCAAACAACCCCATTGCTCACCGAAGTTGCCCAGGGTGGCCGTGCAGCCCCGGGCTGAGGTGTAGCAGTCATCAATCCCAGCCATCATCAGCAGCTTCTTGGGGACCGGGGCAGAGACGATCCCGGTGCCGCGGGGGGCCGGGATCAGGCGCACCAGGACAGACCCGCACCGGCCGGTCACCTGCGGACACGGAGGGTTACAGCTCCCAGCTCCACCCAGCCCAGGATGAACCCCCAAGCCCAGGATGACACCCCAGCCCATCCCGCTCACCTTGCACGGCACCGTGTGGGGCTTCCCAATCTTGTTGCCCCAGTAGCCTCGCCGAACCGGCACGATGGACAGCTTGGCCAGGATGATGGCCCCGCGGATGGCGGTGGCGACTTCTTTGGAGCATTTCACGCCCAGGCCAACGTGCCCGTTGTAGTCCCCGATGGCAACAAAAGCCTGGGGTTGAAAGGGACGTTCTCAGTAGGAGCTGCAGGGCTCAGAACACCCAGCACAACTCGAGGCCAGTCTGGTGTGGGCTGTGCAGTGAGCAGCTGCAGCTCAAGAAACCCCATTTCAGACACGAGGAAGAAACTCCTCCCTGGGGGTGGTGACACTGGCTCAGGTTGCTCAGGGAAGCTGTGGCTGGAAGTGTTCCAGGACTAGATGATCCCTTCCAACCCAAACCATTCCATGATTCTGATTTTTCCCCTTAGTGCTCCCCTTCAATCAAAACCAGCTAAAGCTGAGGAACTGGGATCCAAATCCCTGCTGCAGCCTCATGCTGGTCCAAATTCCCAATCATCTCCAAGCAGCATTTCCTCTTTACACCTGAGATTTCTCCCTCCACCACAGCCCCCAAGCAGCAAACGTCACTGTGCAAGAGTGACTTCATTTCACACTAGGGCTGTTTCCAGTAACACCTGAACACATCACCAGGGTCCTCAAGTTAGAATAGTAACTCTATAAGCCACACAAGCTGATCCCCGCACCAAAACATCTACTAAACCCTACAGAAAAAAGATACTTTACATACTAATTCATTAACATGATACCAAAAAAGCAGCAGACAACACACACCAAGTTTTGAACATGAGAAAGAAGAAAAAAAGGCCACCTTAAACCTGGTCCGCTGGCCAGCACGGGTCTGCTTCTGGACAGGCATGATCTTCAGAACCTCGTCCTTCAAGGAAGACCCCAGGAAGAAATCGATGATCTCTGACTCCTGCAAGAGTCAGTCATTGCATCAGTCACAAGAGGACACTTTTTAAACACACCACAGCCAGAAAGGCTCCTGTAATTCAAGTTGAAGAACCTTACACACACTTACTTTGCTACAGGAACTTAAATGTTAACCTCTGCAGACATAAACTTAATCTATCCTGCCAATCCACTTTTTCCATTACTGAGCAGAACTGTTACAGAAACACCTGAGAAATGAGCTGCCATCCCCACCCACGGCAGAACACATCACCCAGCAGCTGCATCAGTCCTCAGCTCCTGATGATTAACACCACTAACTCGAGAACATTTACCCCGAGCAACTGCTGCTGCTCTGCAATTCAGACTCAGATTGTGCTGCACATGAAGTGTTCACAGCAACTTACCTTGATGGGGAGTGAAAAAAGATAGATCTCTTCAAGAGACTTGATCTTCATGTCCTTAACCAGGCGACCAAGTTTGGTGACAGGAATCCACTGGGAAGAAAATCGGTGGGAAAAGGGTCAGTAGCAGCAGCTGGGAGCAGCCCAGGGGAACCAGTGTGATTTCACAGAATCACAGCATTTTTTGAGTTGGAAGGGATCTTAAAACACCATCGAGTTCCAACCCCTGTGCATGGGCAGGGACACTTCCCACTGCAACAGGCTGCTCAGAGCCCCATCCAACCTGCCCCTGAACACCTCCAGGGATGGAGCCCCCACAACATCCCCGGGCAGCCTGTTCCTGTGTCTCACCACCCTTACACTGAAGAACTCACGCCTGATCTCCAACCCAACCCTTCCTGCTCCAGCGCTCAGGATGGCAGCAGACACAGCCCCCTCGCACACCCCCCCCGCTCCACC